ACAGCAGAGAGAGAGAGAGAGAGGCTTTAATCCTGATTATACACACATCATTCAATCCTCCAACATGTTGGAAAACACTCCACCATTCCCCATAATCTTTCAGCGTCTGACTGACACACATTCACTTCAGTAACAGCGTGCACACAACAACATACGGTGGAGTAAATGATCCTGAGCCTTTAAATGAAATCAAGACCGAAACACGTTTGCATGATCTAAATATAGCACCGAATATGTTTATATAAGTAAACTCCATCCATGATGTCAGCATCGCGTTATATTTTAGGAATTGACAATAATCCTGCATCGTTTTTTAGGCTCTGCTAGTGTTTCATTAAACCACGGTCAATCAATATGTCGAAGATTGACAAACACTTCAAATTTAAGGCTAATACTATGATCAAAATAGGGGTATGGAGCCCTTAACGGGACAAATAAAATCCAGAATGAACCAAAATATTAGATTGGCGCAGTAGGTAGTGCTGTCGCCTCACAGCAAGAAGGTCTCTAGGTCGCAGGTTCGAGCCTCGGCTGAGTGAGTTGCTGTTTCTGTGTGGAGTTTGCATGTTCTCCCATGCGTTCAGGTGCTCCGGTTTTCCCCAGAGATTGGTTGCGGCTGGAAGGGCATCCGCTGTATAAAAAAGTGCTGGACAAGTTGGCGGTTCATTCCGCTGTGGTGACCCCGGATTAATAAAGGGACTAAGCTGACAAGAAAATGAATGAATTAAACATTAAATTTCTACAATTGTTTCTATTAACAATTCTGTTAGCATATGATTAAGTCTGATTTAAATACATTAAAAAACACTCTAATTACATTTATCACACATTAAAATTTGCTCTGTAAAAAATGTCAATTAACAGTTTCTGCATTTTGTGTTTTCTGTTTATTTACAGTTGTGAATTGCATTATGGGATAATTTCTGCTCTGTCCACTTTTGATGCTGAAAATTCAACTCTACAGTTTAACAAAGCAACTTTTATTGACATTTTAGTAGTTTGAAATAATATAGTGTATAATATAGAGAGGAATAAGTCGGTAAAATAACAAAAAATGCACTGGCAGTTTATTACAAGGTGTTTGTAGCGTAATATACAACACCAACCCAGACAATATAGCACTACAAACTATTAAAAATATAAATAAAAGTCACTTATATTAAGGTTAAAAGTTGTTGGAAGAAAGATCAAGATCACATAACACAATTTAAAAGCATAAATAAATGGGGAAAATGTTACAAATGTTTGACGAGTATTAGTCTTCTAATATTTTCCAGTGCATTTTACAATACAATAGAAGAAGTGATCATTGAGGTTGTGCTGTAGAATCAGCTTGGCTTCCTGATAAGCACAATAGTGACCTCAAGTGGTGATCTGGAGTCACAGCAAATCGCTCTGAACTGTTTGTGTACTGATTCAAATGTTTCGTACAACTATTAATCAGTATAAACTCCTTGTTTAGATTCAAACTTCTATTTTTTGTATTATAAAAAATAATAACTTCTTGTTGTTGTTATTGTTATTATTACTGACCTATTTATTGCAGCATATAAAAAATGTAAAAAACGCTGGGTTCCACACAATTCCTTTAGGTTGCCTCAACGCTCAACAAAGTTGTTTTTACGAATGTAAGTGGAGTGAACATAAAACTAAATAATTGTGTTGATTCAGCTCTTTTTAAATAAGTACAGCAGGACAAATAAGTATTGAACACCTTACCATTTTTCTGAGAAAATATTTCTAAAGGGGCCATTGACTTTAAATTTTTAAGTCGACCAAAAAAAAATCCAGATATGCAGAGGAAACAAATCTAATTAGTTTACTAATGAAGTTCTGTGTAGTAAAATAAAATGACACAGAGAAAAAGGTATTGAACACATGAAGAACGGGAGGTGTAGAAAAGCAGTGAAAGCCCAGACAGCAGCTGAAATCTCTTAGTAGTTCCTCCTTCCTCAGTGTAAATGAATATCAGCTTCTTCAGTCCAACATCTACATTAGCAGGAGGATGAAGATGAACCAGGGTGGACATTTCAGCAAGACAGTGATCCAAAACACAGCCAAGGAGGCTCTCAGATGCTTTCAGAGAAAGAAAATCAAGCTGTAGAATGGCCCAGCCATTCATCAGCTTTAATTTTGCTATTAGACTGATAATGATGATATTAAAAATACTAGCATTTATCGGCCAATATCGGTATGGCAGCAGATATATCACGTGTTAAAGAACTTAATCGATATACCGATAACTTTTTAAATTTGGATGCCGATTGCTGATATATAGGTGTAAATAGTACAATTCTTTATTTTCAATTTTGCTTTAAGACTGATTATGATATTATTGAATAAATTAGCATTTATCGGCCGATATCGGTATGGCAGCTGGTATATTATTTGTTAAGAACTGCTTTAATTGTGTATTTCTAAACTACGTGTAATGCCCTGGATGGAGGAAATAATTTTTAACTGATATACCGATAACTCTTTAAATTTGGAGGCTGATTGCTGATATATGTGTAAATAATACACAATTCATCAGCTTTAATTTTGTTATCGGAGTAATAATGATAATATTAAAAATAACAGCATTTATCGGCCGATATCGGTATGGCTGCCGATATTTCATGAATGATTTCGATTCCAGAAATCAAGGCATTTTAAATGAGATGCAATTCAATCAATCAATATCTGAGCTCTTTTTCTAGTTTGGTTTTATTCCAATTTATTCCAGACTGCATAAAATAATCCAACTGAGTGTATAAAAAGTGACATTATTCATATTTTGTGCTCCTTCCCCAGTATATATTTTCAATGATTGTCTCTCTTCTAGACAGACTTAACAACAGAAATAACAATTTCCTACAAGTGAGGCCAAGAAACATTAAACAGAAGTGAATTACAGAGATGATAAGCATTGATAAAAGGCACGTTGTCATAAATAAAACACCTCGAATCTCTTGATGGTTATGGATTGATGGTGTAATAAATTACAAATGTATTATTAATCGTCTACAGGCTGTCATGAAGTCCTGCTAAGCTATAAAACTTCACTGAAAGTCTGCAAATGAGTACATTTATACTTGCAAATCAAAGTGAAAGAGAAAGAAAAAAACATGCCTTCAAATACAGTACACAAGAAAACATTGGATGACGTGATATTAAAGGGGCAGTTCACCTCAAAATGAACATTTATTTACACACACTCATGCCGTTCTCAACTTTTTGTTATGGTTTTGTTTTCTGTTTGAACACAAATGAAGATATACTGAAGAATGCTGGGACAAACAGCCATTAACATTCACAGTAAACACATAAAATACTATTAAAGTCAATGTTTTATTTAACATTCTTCAGTATATCTTTCTGTTAAACACAAAGGATGATATTCTGAAGATTAGGGGGGGGTGCAATTGACTCCAATAGTATTTTTGTTGTTGTTTTTACTATGTATGTTAATGTATGTTTCTTAACACATTCTACAGTATGTCTGTCTTTAAATTCAACAGAAGAAAGAAACTCAGGTTTAGAACAAGTTGAGGACGAGCAAACAATGACAGAATTAAATTTTTGGATGAACTGTTCCTTTAAGACGGGTGTCAAACTCAATTCCTGGAGGGCCGCAGCCCTGCACAGTTTAGTTCCAACCCTGCTTCAACACACTTACAGGTAGTTTTCAAACAAGCCTGAAGGACTCAATTAGTTTGATCAGGTGTTTTTAATTAGAGTTGGAACTAAACTGTGCAGAGCTGCTGCCCTTAAGGAATCGAGTTTGACATCCCTGCTTTAAGAAGTAGTATTGTCACAATACTGGAATTCAATACCAATTCAACATCCCGCTATCATTTGAGCGCATTCTTAAACAGTGCTGATTTGCCATTGTGTTCACATGCTCAACAGAAATGACTGTGATTGGCCGTGAAGGTCATCAGTTCACCAAACTCACCGCTGTTTACTGAGTGCAAATACAGATACAGGGACACTGGAGTGTTTTAAAGCAGTGAAGATCAGCTGGTCTGTTTACAAGCTGACATACGAGCAATCCGCTGATGAATCGACTGATCTTCACAGCTTTAAAGTGCTCCAGTGTCCCTATATTTGAGGTTACACTCAGTAAACAGCCTTGTACATTTATATTTGTAAATGAAAGAGAAGAAAAAAACAAGCCATTAGGGGCAGTTCACCTAAAAATGTACATTTATTTACTCACACTCAAGCAGATCTCGACTTTTAATAAGGGTTTCTACTTTCTGTTGAACACAAATGAAAATACACTGAAGAATGCCTGGACAAAACAGCCATTAACATTCATAGTAAACACATAAAATACTATTAAAGTCGATGTTTTATCCAGCATTCTTCAGTATATCTTTCTGTTGAACACAAATGCAGATATTCTGAAGATTGCCTGGCTTTAATAGTACTTTTTTGTTTTTACTATGGAGTTTAATGGCTGTTTTTCAATGCATTCTTTAGTATGTCTGTCTTCGTGTTCAACAGAAGAAACTCAAGTGGAGGATGAGCAAACAATGACAGAATTCAAATTCATGATTGAACTGTCCCTTTAAGAAGTAACATTTGACGCGTTCTTTAACAGCGATGATTTGCTATTGTGTTCACATGCTCAACAGAAATGACTGTGATTGGCCGTGAAGGTCATCAGTTCACCGAACTCACCGCTGTTTACTGAGTGTAACCATAGATACAGGGACACTGGAGTGTTTTAAAGCAGTGAAGATCAGCTGGTCTGTTTACAAGCTGACATACCAGCGATCCGCTGATGAATCGACTGATCTTCACAGCTTTGAAACGCTCCAGTGTCCCTGTATCTATGGTTACACTCAGTAAACAGTGGTGAACTGATGACCTTCACAGCCAATCACAGTCATTTCAGTTGAGCAAGTGAACACAATGGCAAATCAGCACTTTTAAGGACGCACTCAACAGAGCTCAAATGTGACCGGGAAATGGACGTTTTTAAAATTTCAGTATTGATTAGGATTCCAGTATCATGACAACACTATTAAGAAGACAAAACCTTCAGAAGTAGAACTGAGGCGTTTTACCAACTGTAACACTGGGTTTCTATTATGATCACGTCCTTCTGTGTAAAACAACCTACAATGTTTTTGAGATTGGTTTTCCAGCACTGGATCAGTCTCTTCCTCGTTATGCAATGACGGATAAATCGAACGATCCTCCATTAAGTACAATCAAAAAGCCTTTACTTATTAGTCTCATTTAACATGAGAAAAGGCAACCGTACACTGTAAACGAGTGCGAGGGAGCGCTGTGTAATGACACACGCACACACACGAGCTGTAAATGTCTGAGTGAGGTCAATCATCTGCAAAAGTGATGCGCCCAGGCCCTTCACTCTTCATCCAGCGCCGGTAGCGTTTCCATCGCGAGTCTGTGGCCATCTTCATCTTCATCTCCTCCTCCTGCTCCTTTTTATAAGCCTTTGAGAAACACACAAACGTGAGGAGTCAGTCTGAACACTAACGTACTGACACACACACTCAATAAAAACATGTGAAAGTGAAAGTCGTCACGCATATTGGCATATACTGTTGAATCAGAATTATTCGCCCCCTCTATATTTTTTATGTTTAATGGAGAGTAGATTTTTTTCAACACATTTCTAAACATAAGTTTTAATAACTAATTTCTAATAACTGATTTATTTTATCTTTGCCATATTGACAATAAATAATATTTGACTAGATATTTTTCAAGACTTGGGTTCATTAGGGTAAAATTAGGGCAATTAGGCAAGTCATTGTATAACAGCGGTTTGTTTTGTAGACTAATATATAATACTATTTTTAAAATATTTTTAAAAAATTAAGAACTGCTTTTATTCTAGCTGAACTACAACAAAATAGACTTTCTCCAGAAGAAAAAATATTATCAGACATGCTGTGAAAAAATCCTGAATCTGTTCAACAATATTTGGGAAATATTTGAAAAATAAATTCACAGGAGGACAAATAATTTTGATGTCAACTGTATATATAGGCAGTATATAGACTACTAGCTGACTAATAAAGGTGTGTGAAGAAATTTGGACACCCTATTGAATAAATTTCATAGTTTTCAGGATATAAGGGGAAAAAAACTATATGACCATTAGTGTTGGTCATTTAAGGTTATTTTTTTAATTAGGAGCTGACAAAGACCAGATAACTTTTGGTTTCTTGGTATGGAAAACAAACATTTTATAGGGTGTCATAACTTTTTCAGTGATTCTTAATAAGACTTAAATTATTTACAAAAAGAATCATATAATCTTGAAGCTTACGATTACATTTTGTTAAATTAGAAATGTATTTACAATGAATTCATATTTTAAATATTTAATATTAATGATAATGTTTAGATTGCTGTTTTAATAATGTGCTAGCTCACACTTCTGAGCCTGTCACTCAATTAGCATAATATATAAAATCAAATGTGCGTATATATATATATACTTATTTATACAACAGTTCTTTCTGGTTCTTAAATCTGATTGGCTGACAGCCGTGAGATATTTTGCCAGTAACAGCACACAAAGGCCTCTTTAACTTTGTGTATTACTCCGCCCACAAACAAGCAGAGAGACACTACATTTTGACAAACATTCCTGCTGTTAGGCAACAAAATGTACTTTTTTAGGCTATTTAAGTCAAGAATGTAGTTGTTTAGATTGCAACTCTGCAATTTATTTACAAGGATAGTGCCTATTTTTAAATATCATATCTGAGAGACAGCGTGTTGATGTCAATTAGTCAAAGACAGTTGTAGTTTTCTATTCACAAGATTGCGCCAGGACCGCATAATAAGCTTAGAAGATTAAAACTGTTAAGCGTGAATAAGAAGCGGAAAAACGGAAGCGTCACGGTTTTTAAGGTGGACCGAAAAGAGCTAATGAGAAGCTGCGAATAAGAGGTTGGATTCATCCTCGTTCCTCTTTAACGCAAACACAACAGCAGTCTGGAATGGCTGCGCTGCTTTTTTTCGGGGTTAATTATTGTGATCTCCCGATTGCACCAAAGAAATATAGAGGAATCTCTGTAGACCAGGGGTGGCCAATCCTGTTCCTGGAGATCTACCTTCCTGCAGTTTCAGTTGCTACCCTTATCAAACACACCTGTCTGTAATTATCAAGTGGATTTCAGGTCCTAATTAATTGGTTCAGGTGGGTTTGATCAGGGTAGGAGCTGAACTGTATAGGAAGGTAGATCTCCAGGAACAGGATTGAGCACCACTGCTGTAGACTGATGGCATTTCACACCGTTCAACCTCATAATCTTAAAATGCAAAGTAAAATCACCTGTTTTGTCTTCATTTTAGACATTACGCTAGAGAATCATTCAAACACTAGCTCTAAAGTGACGTTAGAGAAGTAACAAGGGTTTCTGCTGTTCTGAAATCACCTACAGACGTGAATGAACGACGGAAGAAAGTAGTTCCTCTTACAAAAGCGTTTTTGAGACTCTCCATGTTTGATTTTCTTTTTTATACACATGATTATGCCATCGAACTGTTGTATAAATGCAATATCATACGAGTAGCAGTGTGATATGGCTGTAAATCGTCACTGGCGGGACACTAAGGCACTCGGCCTACTTTATTTCACATGTTTATAAATGTCCTTCTTGTTTTTCTTGTGCTGATATGTATGCATGCATGTACCCCTGAGCTCCTTTTAACCACAAAAAAAATTCCTTGTGTGTCTGCGCACACATAAATCTCCTTCTGACTCTGAGAAAAGAGAAATCATCTCAAACCTCGTAATTCTCCTTGATCCAGAGCTGCTGCTTAAGGAACGTCTCTATCAGGCTGTTCTCCAGACTGTCGAACTGAGCCTGAGACATCTTCATGTACTTGCGGATGATGTAAAGTCTCTCCTCCTCTCCATACTCCTCTCCGCGAATGGTGAAACGGTAAAACCATGAGAAATTCCACGCCACGTATGTGCACAGATGGTACGGGAACAGAACAATTTTACACAGCAGAATGTCAGACACATTGGGTTTCTGATAGCCGCCCTTGATGTCTATTTTATTCTTGATGATGTCTCGAATGATCTGCTCCTCTTCCTCTCGGATCTCCTCTTTGGATCGCCGGTTTTTGCCCTTCTCTTTGGTTCTGTTCAGCAGACCCTGCTGCTTGGCCAGTTCTGTAGCCTGGATGCGATATTTGGGAACGGTCATAAGGTAGTTGATGGCTTCTGTGTAGCTGCTCCACCAGCTGTAATACTGCACACACACATAAACACTTCTGTGAGGCCTACGGTTATTCAATCTGAAGGTACCTTTAGATTAATCAAATAATAACTTGAGTTAATGCACATTTTCATACATCATTCATATTGATCTTTCAGAAATTACTTACAAAATCAGTTTAAATGAGAAAAAAATAATAATTGGAGAAATTGATGGCACTCTAGGCCAGAGTTTAACAGAAGATGGCACTCTAGGCTAGGCTCATTTTGAACAGCATACAATACTAGTTAAAAACTAGACTAGAGCAACATCAGCTGGAAATAAACTAGCCTAGATCACTATCTGCCGATAAAAATAACTAGCTTAGAGTGCTATCTGCACTTAAAAAGTAGCCTAGAGCACCATCCGCTTTTGGGAAAACTAGCCTGCAAAAGTCATTTGCTGTAAAACAAAAAAATAAATAAAATAAAATAAAAAAATAACCTAGAGTGCCATCTGCTGTTAAAAACTAGCCAAGAGAACCATCTGCTGATAAAAAAAACTAGCCTAGAGCACCATCTCCTGGTAAAAACTAGCCTAGATCGCCATCTGTTGGTAAAATCTAGCCTAGAGTGCCATCTGCTGGTAAAAACCAGCCTAGAGCGCAACATGCTGGTAAAAAAATACTAGTCTAGAGCTCCAACTGCTGGTAAAAACTAGCATAGATCACGATCTCCTGGTAAAAACTAGCTTAGATCGCCAACTGCTGGTAAAAACTAGCCTAGAGCACAGTCTGCTGGTAAAATCTAGCCTAGAGTGCCATCTGCTGGTAAAAACCAGCCTAAAGCCCAACATGCTGGTAAAAAAATACTAGTCTAGAGCACCATCTGCTGGTAAAAACTAGCCTAGAGCGCAACACGCTGGTAAAAAAAATACTAGCCTAGATCGCGATCTCCTGGTAAAAACTAGTCTAGAGCACCGTCTGATGGTAAAAACCAGCCTAGAGCACCGTCTGCTGGTTAAAATCTAGCCTAGAGCACCGTCTGCTGATAAAAACAAGCCTCGAGCACCGTCTGCTGGTAAAAACAAGCCTCGAGCACCGTCTGCTGGTAAAAACAAGCCTAGAGCACCGTCTGCTGGTAAAAACAAGCCTAGAGCACCGTCTGCTGGTAAAAACAAGCCTAGAGCACCGTCTGCTGGTAAAAACAAGCCTCGAGCACCGTCTGCTGGTAAAAACAAGCCTCGAGCACCGTCTGCTGGTAAAAACAAGCCTCGAGCACCGTCTGCTGGTAAAAACAAGCGTAGAGCACCGTCTGCTGGTAAAAACAAACCTAGAGCACCGTCTGCTGGTAAAAACAAGCCTAGAGCACCGTCTGCTGGTAAAAACAAGCCTAGAGCACCGTCTGCTGGTAAAAACAAGCCTAGAGCACCGTCTGCTGGTAAAAACAAGCCTAGAGCACCGTCTGCTGGTAAAAACAAGCCTAGAGCACCGTCTGCTGGTAAAAACAAGCCTCGAGCACAGTCTGCTGGTAAAAACTAACTTTAGTGCCATCTGCTGTTCTCAGAAAAATTCTCAAAAAAAATCTCAAACAATTTTTACAATTACCTAAAATTACAATGTATAATATATAAAAGCCATTTTTGTCCATTTTGTGTCACACATGTTCTGGTCACATTAAAGGGTAGGGAGTCTGGGGAGATATACAGATGCAAGTGAGCCAAAATAGATGTCCTGAACACTTTGTGATGAGAGATCTACTTACCTGAAACAATGAGATTGCACAAATAGTTACGAGAATCACTATCCTAACGTCTACTTTGGGAGCGAGTCTTCTCCTGTAGTAGGTGTAGTAGTGGCTGTAGTATTCCTCTGGGTGATCCAGCATATAGTCATAGTCCTTACGTAACTCTTCATCCTGAAAGCACAATATTTAAAAAATGTATTAATCTTATGCACAAAAAATGATGGTGAAGACAAATGCAATGTTTTAACGACGTTCTTTTTCTTTATAAGCATTGAAAATTTTACAATACTAGGGAGAAAAATTTTAAAAACTGTCAATGGAGGGACAGAGAGCTCCAGGATTTCATCTAAAATATCTTAATTAGTGTTCTGAAGAAGAACGATTGACTTACAACTTTGGAGCAACGTGAGGGTGAGTAATTAAATGATACAATTTTAGCTGCTATGATGTGTTAAACATTACTTTAAAAAAAAATTAAATGTAAACTAATATGCACGTCATTTACGGCTCGTTTCCAGTGAGTGGTACGGTACGGCACAGTTTTGTTCTGTACGCTTTTATGGTTGTTTACACTGTAAATCGAACCGTTCCACTTTTTCGGCACCCTTTCAAAAGGCTACCAAACCAAGGTTATTATAGTTAACGAAAACTAACGAAAAAACGAAAACTAAAATGTAAAATAATTGTCGTTAACTGAAATAAATACGACAGTTTTTTCAAAAACTAGAATTAACTAAAACTGTATTGCATACATACAAAACTAATTGAAACTAACTAGAATTACAGCAAAAACCTCCTTCGTTTTCGTATTTGTAAATGTATGTGATGCATAATCTTACTGTAAGCCTTTTAGAAGTAAATATAATCATGGAAACCTATGATAAAAATATCCTGATTTAAAAAAACCTGAAACTAATACTGAAACTAATAAAAACTAAAACTGAGACATTTTAAAATATAGAAACTAATAAAAACTAAGAAATTTACCTCTAAAACTAATTAAAACTAACTGAATTTGAAAACAAAAAGTCAAAACTAAATAAAAACTAAAACTAATAAAAAAAATCCAAAACTATGATAACCTTGTACCAAACTCGAGAAAGGGTACCTAAAGGCGGAGCTAGACATGCAACTGAACACTATTGGTTTACAGAGATACGTCATTCGCTTACGCAACAAGCCAGAATGAAAACAAAAGAGCAGCCATGTTTGAAATACACAGCAGAAGATTACAGCGGAATTATATATACATGTAATAACGAGTCATGGTCGACCCGGGCTCAAACAAACCTTAGAAGACATAAACTTCTTGAGCTGATGATAATAACGTGCGCCTGGTTATTGACAAGCTTCGGAAACCCGATTCTGCCAGACACTGACAAATGCAAGAGTGAAGCGCAGAAAAAAGGAGAAGCCGGGGAAAAAAGGAGCACATTATTTCTTCAGCAAACGTGAACAAACTGCCTTGTTTTATTTTTTATCATCACTTTCTGGACTAATATGAACTGGGAATGATGGAGTGACTCTCTAACAGAGTTAGAGTAACGTGCTGCTGAAGATTACACACACAGATGAGAGGTTTGCACTGACTGTAGGCTATATTTTGTGTTGTTTTGAACCGAATTAAGGACGAAATGTATGGTGTGTGTAGTTTTTCTGTAGTTGGTAACATATCAGAGACTGTAAGGCTCTGTATGTGTTCATATATGTTCATTTATTTTATTTAATATAATTACAGACATTACAGTAGGCTATTTCACACTGTCATTGATCTGCAGTTATAATCAAATCATGTTTATAGAAAGGTTAGTAATAAACATTTATACACAAGTATGTGTATAATGCATCTGTTTTGTGAGAAGTGCTTCTCATATATGACCCAAACAGCTTTACTGTAGACATTTGCTTGAGCGAGAATGATGTCGACTGAAATTTTCTATTATTCGCCACGGCCACTATTGGTACCCTTTTAGTAGTGGAAACGCAAGCCTGATAAAGGTTATCTGTACCAACATGTACCGTACCACTCAGTGGAAACGGGCCATTGGGGAATGTGCGCCATCATAGCTGAATCTGCATAGTCCCTCTATTCATTATTTACATTTCTGATGAAACTGGGCTGGAGTGACATCCAGATACAGATAAGAGAGTCAAAGCAACCCAGGTCAATACAGCCTGTGTGTACAAGATTCAAGTTTAGGGAAGTGAAGTTCCCCAATAAAGTTTCACTACATTAGTAAAGTTTACCAGCATGATAACAATGACAATGTTTAATAATACATTTATTTAACTTGAAAATTAGTTTAATAATATAATATTTTTCGTTTAAAATCTGCCTGAAAACAAAGTTGTTGTTTTTTTTTTGACAACACGGTTACAATTAAAATAGAATATTAAGTAGGGGCGGAGATTTATTTTTACGCTCATTTCATCATTTTCATCTTTCACTTGGATCAAGCTAATGGCTAGAGGGGCGTGGCTAAGCACATTTCGGCCAATCTGTCAAACGAACGTCATCAGCGAAAGACAGATTGATTTTTCACCTAAAGACCAGCAATGTGCACTAGCGAAATAAACATTATACATTTGATTTCATGCAGACTTTAATGCACATTCTCTCTGAAGTAAAAATTTACAGTAAAAAGTTGATGAAGAGAGATTAGGACAGAGTAGCTCCCCCACTTTTAAAAAACAGCCAATAGTCGGTGCAATAGCCTAGTGGTTAGTGCGCCGACATATGGTGCAATAGCACGTCAGGGCGTCGCGAGTTCAAATGCCGGCTCGTGATATTACCCTACCCCCTCTCTCTGTTTTGTTTTGAGGCATGTCAGATACTAGATAGCATTTGATAGCCTTTGAGAGCATTTGAGAGCATTTTATTATTATTAATTCAATGCCACAAAAACAAGAGGCAGTACATTTCATGTAGTTTTATAAAAAAGGAAAAAAATATATACTTTACATGAAGTTAAATGTTTTCAGAGCATTACATGTTTTCAGTGTTTTTTTGTTTTGTGATTGTTCTAAAAGATTTTCATATAATTTGAATTCATTCACAAAATGGGAAACGTTTGGTTTACACTGAGCCTACAGTTTCTTATGTGATATTTCTATGGTATTTCCCTAATAACAAATTTTAATAAATTAAATTAAAATATGTTGTCTTTTACAGTTCATATTCTCATTATCTGAGTAAAACAGTACATCAAATAAACAAATTTCTATCTTATACTCCATTTTATTTGATTTTTTAAATAAACAATTAAAAATCTTTTCAAAATATTTTTGAGTAAATGCAATGAAAAAATTATGCAAAATTGTTACTTTTTCTTGACTGGTCAGAAGATTTGATGAGATACTGAAGTATGAAGTGACGTGAAAAGAACCATTGACATATTTGGTGGAAAGCTGCAATCTTTTGGGTGTTTATATCATGTTTAACTGAGGTAAAGTTTGTTTTATATTCGCACATTCACAATTTCTCCTTAATACAATCATTTCGAAAAGGTATTCTTTGCCAATTCTAAATAAGGAAATCATATTAGCACCCAATGACTATCAAAGAACAACACTGTTAACAGGCAATTATAGTGTTAATGTTATTTTCAAGTCATACTTACATGCTAATTCAGACCGAGCAATTAAAGTACATTGTTAAACAATATAGGGACCGTTAAATTAACAAATGTGCAAATATAAAACCAAATTTACCTTAATTCGTGGTTATATCTTCTATATTTTTGCACACTATAGATATCACTAAAACTTACACACTGATACGAATATTTACAAAGTTAATATATGTAATTTCACCAGAACCTTTAAAATATCCCACAGACACTTGAAAGGAAACTTAAGGTTGTTTTCTAGCCTTACCTTAAGCGTCTCGTAAGCAGTGGCGACGAGCAGAAACTTTTGCTGGGCTGATTCCTGGGTGTCGTCGGTCTCCCCGGGCTGGAATCTGTCCGGGTGATACCTCCGCGCCAGCTGCCGGTACGCGCGTCCGAGCTCCGCTTTACTGACGTCGCGCGAAACTCCCAGCACATCATAACAGCTTTGAGTCCCGCAGTATAGTCCTTCAATGAGCGCGGAGACCGAGTGGAAACACAAAATAAACACAAGACAGATCCATAAAGTGAGTCTCAGCTCGATGGACGCGGCCATGTCAGCATTCTGAAGTTGCGGTCGCGTACTGATGACGTGTCGTACACGTGTTGAACAAGGCTCGACGTCAACTGACGCCTCATGAACAATTTGTGCAGAAATTTGTATTTTCATTTTCTAATAGAGAGTAAGCTGACTTTATTTCACTTCAGTTTTTTATTATGTTACGGTATTTATCAGCTCTGACCTCGAAGGCCCTTTATGCTTCTGACCCAAATCCAAAATCTTTTAATTTACGAATCTTGTGTTGCTTTTCTAATTTGACCAGTTACCATTACACAACCAAAACATTTTGTTGGAATAGACAAACTATATCACACACCCTAATGCTTTCCAAACTTTATACTAAATTAATTTTTGGGTGACTAGAAAGATTATTATTAATTAGCGTAACTATATAGGCTAGACTATAGTATAAGTACTATCATTATTATTTGCAAAATATTACAATAATATATTTAAAATTGTCAAAATAATTTGTTGTTGTCTAGTAAATACGTTAGATTAAGGGTGTTGGTATTGATAGGCTAACGTTGGCTAACACACTTTAGTTCATTTAAGAATGGTTGCATCATTTAAAAATATTTTATTTATTGATTTTATGCTTGAAAATATTTAGGTTTTTTGTTGGAGAAAATCAAGGCAGTCTTTAGTTTGAGTCTATGACACGCTAAACAAATTTACAGTAACCAAATATGTATTGCTATACACCCACAATGGCTCATTCTGAAAACGTAGCCCTATATACATTTCTGGAGATCGCGAATTAAGTATCCAGACACGTATGGTTGCATTTCGTTTTTCGCAGTTCCTTTTCTCGCTAACCAGCTGACCCCTTACCTGCATATAGACTGCTTTCCCGCTAGTTTGTCCGATAGCTCGACATGTACGTTGTTGGACTAGAGATGCAGAGCAGAGTTGACCACGATGACGGGTTTTCGAGTCTGACGAAGAACGGTTCCAGCAAACAGGTAAAACAAAAACAGAAGCCAAATAATAAAATAAGTAAATAACAGGGTGAGAATGTGGTAAAATCTTTAAATGTGGTAAAAAGTGAGGCTTTTCTTTTTTTGGATTCCTTTTCAAAACACTGCGGTTGGGTTTAGGGAAGGGATCTGCGGGTCAATTGATGCTTTTCAAAATACTATTGGTTGGGTTTAGAGAAGGGTAAGGGTGGGTGGATTGGTCGGTTGGTCAGTCAGTGAGTCAGTCGACAGCGGCCTCTGGCGGATTCACGAAAACAATAACTGCAAAAAAAAACATAGCTCCTGGGACGTATTTTGCACTCTCCAGAAATGTATATAGGGGTATGTAATCAAAGTGAGCCAGGGTTGCTATATACGGAAGCTCCACAGGTTCAATATGCATGGCCGGGCTGCTATTGATCTTATTCTTCAGTGCTGAAGTGCACCTGTTTTTGCAATTGTTTTAAAACTTCCAATTCAGTTGCCTAGGGGGGACATGACTAATAATAATAAGCGGCAGAAAATGGTCAAACTGTTTACTATACAAAAGAGTTTGTACATGAATATATATAAAAGTAGAATAAGAAAAGATCAGTTGGCAACATGAAGCACCATTGTGAGTGATTTTTAACGTATAAAAAGCAATGGAAGTGTTTGAGACTGGACGTCTTGAGCTAAAAGGATTACAATGGATGCGCCTTCTCATACGTGAAGAATAAGATCAATAGCCAAACTTTTGGCCAGTAGTGTCAATGTCAAACATCAGTTTCAATGCTAATGTGAAAAGTGCAGTGAAAATATTTGGCTGTGGACAATGTAAAACATTGATGAGTCCACCTTCACTATCTTTTCCACATCCAGGAGAGTTACAGTGTGGAGAAGCCCCAAAGAAGCGTACAACCCAAACTTTGGCCCAATAGTTTAAACATTGTACCTAAAGTTGGCGTTTTATTAGAATGATAATGCACCAATACACACAGCAAGACTGGTGACAGAGTGGTTTGATGAACATGAAAGCGAAGTTGAACATCTCCCATGGCCTGCACAGTGCCCAGATCTAAATATTATTGAGCCACTTTAGGGTGTTTAGGAGGAGTGAGTCAGGAAATGTTTTCCTCCACCAGCAATTAATATTAATAAACTTATAATGATAATAAAATTATAATACAGGGCGTCGCAGTGGGTAGCACGATCGCCTCACAGCAAGAAGGTCGCTGGTTTGAGTCCCGGCTTTCTGTGTGGAGTTTGCATGTTCTCTCCAGGTGCTCTGGTTTCCCTGACAGTCCAAACACATGTGGTACAGGTGAATTGAATAAGCTAAATTGGCCATAGTGTATGAGTGTGTATGGGTGTTTCCCAGTACAGGGTTGCAGCTGGTTGGGCATCTTCTCCATAAAACATTCTGGATAAATGAGGCCTAAACACTCCTGATAAATGAGGCCTAAGCTGAAGGAACATTAATGAATGAATAAACAAATAGCAGCTGCAATGCACCAACACAGATTTGCCAAACTATTTGAAAGCATCTTTTTCTTTTCTTTATCGAAGTTGAAGTCTTTCTTAACCCCTTAACTGAGCCCATCATGATTACAACTATGATCATTACATGCATCTATCACCTATAATCTTAATAAAGTGTGAGTTCTAATTGTGGGGTGACGGTTAAGGGGTTAAAATAAAAACCTTTCCCAACTCCATGATCCACATATCAAATATACGCCCTCAGACTTCCTGTATTGTAAAATAAGCGGTTTTGCAAGTGCCCTTCCCCTTTATTTGATTGCGTAAGTCACAGTCAGAAGCTCCACCTCCAGGTGTTTGTTCATCCAGTTTCCAGAATCATTCACTGCTAACACAATGAGTCCCAGAGGAAGCACCGGTGTTTTTCTCCTGCTAGCGCTTCTGCTGAACCAAAACCTGCTTTGTGTTTCAGGAGGGAAGATCCTCGTCTGGCCGGCTGAATTCAGCCACTGGCTCAATATTAAAGTCATCCTAGATGTGCTGATTGAAAGAGGACACAATATCACAGTGGTGACCCACACGGCCACACCGTCAGTCCAGACCACCCCATCAGCTGGATACAATGCGGAGATTTTACAGGTGCCATATACAAAGCAGGAAATCGTGGACAATTTGGAGAGGATGCTGAAATACTGGACTCATGACCTACCCAATGATAACATAATCACAGCTTCGCTGAAGATCCATGAGATGATTACTACAGCCACAGCGCAGAATAAAATCACATGCAATGCACTCTTTTCCAGAGCAGATCTGCTTGAGAAGTGGAAGATGGAGAAGTTTGACGTGATACTAGCTGATCCGCTTTATATATGCGGAGAGATTCTGGCCCAGAAACTGGACATACCGTTAATATTCAGCCTCAGGTTTACTTTTGGCAACACTCTGGAGAGATTGTGTGGTCAGATGCCGGCTCCGCCATCATACGTGCCCGCTGTGGCCTCTGAGAAAACAGACCAAATGGATTTCATAGACAGACTGAAAAACTTCCTCTTCTATGGCATGCAGGACTTCTTGTTTTATCTAGTCACCAAATTCAAGTGGGATCACTATTATTCTGAGGTCCTGGGTGAGTACTCTGTAAAAATTATACGATCAATTAGCCATGACAACGTTTGTTTTTAGTTCATTGTAACTTATTAAGTGAAGTTTATTTATATTGCGGCTGGTCCCGCATTATTCAGTTTATGATTGACCAATCAGACGATTCCTAAGCCACTATAAATACCTTAAGTTCAATATCACAGCCATCTTTGTTTTGAAGAATCCCCCCTTTCACCCCTACTCCTCCTCCTTTCCTAGATGGGTGGCACGGCGGCCCAGTGGTTAGCACTGTTGCCTCACTGCAAGAACATCACTGGTTCTAGTCCAAGCCAGTCAACGTTTCTGTGCAGTGTTTACACGTTCTTCCTGTGCTCACGTGGGTTTCCCCCAGGTTCTCAGCTTCCTCCCATCAACCAAAAACATGCAACTTAAGTTAATTGACTAATCAAAATCTGCACCATAGACATGCTCCTAGTCAGTAGTTATCTCTTAAGAGCGATCACTATCTGTTCAGCTACTACAGCAGGGGAGTTCTCCAGGTTTACCTAAGCTCAAACTCCCCTCTCGCCTTGCAAGCGGTAGGGAGCCCCGGGCTCGAGGATCTTATGATATAGCCACAGCTGATAATAATATTATGTGTATACTTTTAAGCGTATAAACTTTAAATGATTGTGGGTTGTTTTTAACCCAAGGTTTAAGCAATGCTTGGTTTTAAAAGTCATTTAAATGTTTTTTTCTTAAATAATTCAACATTTGACCTAACATTGGGTGAAAACAACCCAGAACTTTTAAAGTGAAAAACTGACTATAAATATGGTGTATATGTATAATAAATGACTACACGAGAAGTCTAATGTGTCTATTTGATGGCCAATGTTTGGACTATATATTTTCAATATAGTTTTGCTGATGACCTAAATATAGCCTTGTTATAATCTATTAAACTCTAACATGGCAGGTTGTTTTAACCCAGTGTTGGATAAAATATGAACAAACCCAAGTGTTAGATTAGCCGGCAGCTAGCTCTCTGCAACTCTCACATGGTCGCCAACTGAAGCTAAGCTGGGCTGTGCCCGGTCAGTACCTGGATGGGAGACCACATGGGAAAGCTAGGTTGCTGCTGGAAGTGAAGTTAGTGAGGCCAGCAGGGGGCGCCCAACCTGCGGTCTGTATGCGTATAGTGACGGGGACTCTATACTGTTCAGTGAGCGCCGTCTTTCAGATGAGACGTTAAACCGAGGTCCTGACTCTTTGTGGTCGTTAAAAATCTCAGGATGTCCTTCGAAAAAGAGTAGGGGTTTAACCCTGGCATCCTGGCCAAATCTGCCCACTGGCGCCTGCCCATCATGGCCACCTAACCCTCCCCATATCATAACTGGCTTCATCACTCTGTCTCCTCTCCACCAATCAGCTGGTCTTATTATTTTTAAAAAGTGCAATGTAAATTTTGTTGAAAAAAATGAACCCAACATGGGTTTGTTCTTATATGACCCAATGTTG